TTTGATGTTGTCTTCAGCCACACCCGAATTTCTGTCACAGAATGGCCCAGTTGGCATCACATTTCCCCCTTGCCTGGGCAATGGAGAGAGAGTGGCTTGCAGCAGGCCAATCAGTGTGTGGTTCCACAAACCTTTAGGTCCTGAGGGGCGGTCACTTGGGTCCCAAATAGGAAAGGAGCTGGCGGGGGGGTTGGGGGGATGGGGGGGTGCTCCCGCGTGATCAAGCCTTGCTGGTTTCTCTTTTCCAAAAAAGACATCTTTAGCACTAGGTTAAGCATCCAAGACTTGATTGATATTAAGGCAACTGCAAACATGATTGTTTAGAAGCCAGAGAAAAACAGAGCACTTGGGGTATTTAAAGTAATCAGGCCTGCCCTACCCAGAGGTTTTATGGTTTGCCTATATTTTATCGCCTCCCGCTATGACACACGCAAGGGCTTCATCCTGTCCATCCATGATTATCCTGTGGGGAGAATGTGAGGGAGGGGGTTGCGAGGACAGGAAGTGAACAGCAAGGGCACTTGGTTTCTCCTCTACATCCTCTTCTTCCTTGGCGTTCCTCCAGGGAGTGGGTCCTTTACAACCAACACATAAAGGCATATTGCAGTGCTGCTTGATGCACTTTATGACCACAGAGTACTTTTATGCATCCACCCAATTTTTTACCCATCTGATCTAACTAGGGGAGACTCCTGTGAGGCTGGAGAAGGTCGTCCACTCGTTCTCCAGCGCCACCCTGGCGCCCATCCCCAAAGGGGGATATTGCAAGTGGTTGTGTTACTGGAAAAAAATCGTCTCTTTCATACTGCAGGCTTAAACGCCTGGGAGTTGTTTGGTTTTGTACTGGCAGCAGGCAAGCCCTCTACCACCATGAGAGACGAGGTTGGCTGGGCTGTGCTAGGGAACATCCTGTCTCCTGGTGGGCCCTTGGCTTGCTTGGGAGATCTTTGGCTCCAAAGGAATAGGGCAGACAATGGTCTGCACTGACACCTTTTTCCTTTCAGGCTTTGATTCCTTTCTTGATGTCAATTGGCTTCACTAGCCTATGGCGGAGAGGGGACGGGCAGGGTACATATCTGGTCATCGACTGGTGGCTCCGTTGCCTATGGCCAATTCTGAGGCCCCAGGGTTGTTGGGCAGATCATAATTGTGAGGGGAGTAGGTCTTGGAGGCCCCAGTTAAGGGTTATTGCCCCCTCCTGTGCCGGCTCCAGTGGCTTTGTCTGTCCGATACCCCCGGATTTTCCGTAGGTAGAGTGTTGAGGGAGGGGGTGGTAGGGTAAGAGGAGGCAAAGACATTCTGCTCTCTATTTCTTTTGGCTCCTTCCTCGACATTTCCCTCTTCTCTGGGGGGTGGGACCTTATAGGCACCACGTAAATGATTCCTGTTAAGCAAAGCCATAGTTGCCTGCAGCACATATCGTAGGTTGGATTCTGTCCTGATGCTCATTTGGTTTGTTGGCCTGCCTGGCCATAGGACTAAGCTTGAGAGAGAATAGAAATTATGTGAGTCTTATCTGGGTCCAATCGATTAACGGCTATAGGCCTCTCATCTTGATCTTTGGAGATTTCAGTGTCTCTGGTGTTCACAGCTTGAGAGGGAGCATTGATAATTGGACCCTGAGGACGCGAGAAGCATAAGAGAAATGGAGAGCTTTCACGGGGGCAGGGTGCCATGGTCCCTGCCAGGGCCTGGTTGGCAGGCTTGGCTGCAGCTCCTTCTTATGGAAATATCTGCTCTCCGGCACTTGTCGCATGCTTTGTTTCATGGGGCTGAAGATACCATGCGTCTTTACTCCCTGCAGAAGTCAAAGGACACATGGAGGAGGTTTCTGGCCAGTCACTATTCACATGGTGGGGGAGGCAAAAATATGGACAGGCCTAGAGATGACTGGTTACAGTAAGACGTGGCAGTAGTGGATCCACTGCCCATGCAAGCTCTGCTCAGGAACAGGGCTCTTTTTCTTCCCGTGGGGCTCCGCATTGCGTTCTTCCCTGTGCTCAGCCTGTCTTCTCTTGTTTTAAAGGTAAGATGATCTTGCTCTGATGGTGCCTATTCGCCATTGACACGGAATCCCCACTCATGGAGATGTTTGTGGCTCATGGATTCTATGCTGCAAAATTCGTAGTGGCCATTGGGTCCGTTGCAGGACTGACAGTCAGTTTGCTGGGGTCCCTCTTCCCGATGCCGAGGGTCATTTATGCCATGGCTGGTGATGGGCTCCTTTTCAGGTAAGGGCTACCCTCCATGAAATTTATCCTGCTCTGCCGTGTCTATCCAGGGAGAATGTCTACCCACTGTCAGCCTGACTGTGATTTTTATGTCAGTGCCTTTCACATGGACTGTGGACCTTGTCATGTATCCTGGAGAAAAAGTGAGTGAACAGAGCTCAGGCCCTGAAGCAGCCCCTCAGTTTAACTCTGTGGTCCCTCAGTCCAGCACAAGCTGATGTGTGCCCCCCACGCCCCACTGTCCTCCTCCTTCCAGTTGACATTGCTTGCTCCTTTGTGAAGATGATGGGTGCCAAATTGCCGTACTGGGTGGCTTCCAGAAGGAAGAACCATACCAGGGACATCTTAGGCGTGCCCTCACATTGAGGCCTGGTAACTGCCCCTCTTTCCACAGCCCCTGTGAAATCAAAAAAAAAAATCAACGAAGAGTAGATAAGACCATCTGAACAGAACCTAACAATAGCAGCAACACCAGTGGCCATTTATTGTATACTGTGTATACAGTATCCCATTTAGTCCTCACAATAACTCTATTTTGCATATGAAGAAGTCTACTAGGACTCAGAGAGGTGAAAAAAAATTGCCACAAATCCCTCAGCTACTGAGTGGCAGGTCAGGATTTGATCCCAGAACATCCAACTCCAAAAACCAGACTTTTTTTTTCTTCTTTATATACTTTAAGTTCTAGGGTACATGTGCACAAGCCAGACTTTTCACCACACCAGTATATTGGCAGTCCTTGCCCCCTACACTGGCCATGAAGTGGCTCATCTGCCCATGGTACAAAGGGGATGTGGCCTCAGCCCTTTGTTTCCAGCATGAGGGGCCTGCTTGAGAAGGCATTCTTCAAGTGCACAAAGCAAGGAGTAAACCATGGAGGCCAAGGAGCTCTCAGGTGTGCAGAGGGGGCTGGTTCAGGGACTTTGTCTCTGCAGCCATCATCTTCTGACTCATCTCCCCTGCATACCCTCTGAAGCCATCACCAGCCATCAGAGCTGCTATGTTTAGGTTGCTGAACAGATCAAGAGGGCCCTAGGGTGATGGAGGTGTGGCAACTTCACACATCCAAAAGGTTTTTCTGCTGTCAGAGAAACTAAGAGGAAAGATACTGGGGCTTCAAGCACATTTGCAGTCTTGTGTGAATCATAAAAATAAGGGACCATGAGGAGAGAGGAGGGGAGAGGAGCCTACTGCACGTGCCATTCAGTCGCTTTTCTTGGTCTCTTCTTCATTCAGTAACTAGCTGGACATAAACCTGTATCTGTGAGCACAGTTTCTCAATTACTGTGCTATTTTGCCAACTTTTGTCATAGGTGGTGTCTAGAGCTTTGGCATAAATCAGAATCCTCTGGAGGTCTTTTAAAGCAGTTTGCCAGGCCTCACCCCACTATGATTCTGGTATAGTAGGTCTTGGGTGAAACCTGAGAATATACATTTCCAACAAGCTCCAAGAGGATGCTAAGATGCTAGTTCACAGGTCAGGAGGACCCCCAAGCAGGCCCATGACTTCCTCTAACCATCACTTTTCCACGCAGAGCCTGGGCTTCAATCTAGATTTCTGAAAGACAGACCTCCTAGGTTCAATCAGCCCTTCCATTACATAATAATTAGGAACTTTACTAATGAAGTTTGCCTTAAAATCAAAGAATTAGGCCAGGTGCGGTGGCTCACGCCTGTAATCCCAACACTTTGGGAGGCCAAGTTGGGTGAATCATGAGGTCAGGAGTTTGAGACCAGCCTGGCCAACATAGTGAAACTCCATCTCTACTAAAAATACAAAAATTAGCCAGGTGTAGTGGTGCACACCTGTAATCCCAGCTACTCAGGAGGCTGAGGCAGGAGAATCGCTTGAACCCGGGAGGCAGAGGTTGCAGTGAGCTGAGATCATGCCACTGCACTCCAGCCTGGGGGACAGAGTGAGACTCCATCTCACCAAAAAAATAAATAATAATAATGAAATAAAATAAAGTGAATTATCTTTTAATTATACACTAAATCCTGGGGTAGGAATAGCAGCTGGGTTTAAAGTAGTGAATGCAGAAGTAAATTGGTGGAGCAGGACCAGGAGGAGTTAATCACACCAGCCTATTGATAGTTCTAGCTCCCTGTGTTGGCTGCACTGGAATCGGTCACTGTAGCCCACCATTAACCCTCTGTTTGCACGCCCCTCCAGGTTCCTGGCTCATGTCAGCTCCTACACAGAGACGCCAGTTGTGGCCTGCATCGTGTCGGGGTTCCTGGCGGCGCTCCTCGCACTGTTGGTCAGCTTGAGAGACCTGATAGAGATGATGTCTATCGGCACGCTCCTGGCCTACACCTTGGTCTCTGTTTGTGTCTTGCTTCTTCGATACCAACCCGAGAGTGACATTGATGGTTTTGTCAAGTTCTTGTCTGAGGAGCACACCAAGAAGAAGGAGGGCATTCTGGCTGACTGTGAGAAGGAAGCTTGTTCTCCTGTGAGTGAAGGGGATGAGTTTTCTGGCCCAGCCACCAACACATGTGGGGCCAAGAACTTACCATCCTTGGGAGACAATGAGATGCTCATAGGGAAATCAGACAAGTCAACCTACAACGTCAACCACCCCAATTACGGCACCGTGGACATGACCACAGGCATAGAAGCTGATGAATCCGAAAATATTTATCTTATCAAGTTAAAGAAGCTGATCGGGCCTCATTATTACACCTTGAGAATCCGGCTGGGTCTTCCAGGCAAAATGGACCGGCCCACAGCAGCAACTGGGCACACAGTGACCATCTGTGTGCTCCTGCTCTTCATCCTCATGTTCATCTTCTGCTCCTTCATCATCTTTGGTTCTGACTACATCTCAGAGCAGAGCTGGTGGGCCATCCTTCTGGTTGTTCTGATGGTGCTGCTGATCAGCACCCTGGTGTTTGTGATCCTGCAGCAGCCAGAGAACCCCAAGAAGCTGCCCTACATGGCCCCTTGCCTCCCCTTTGTGCCTGCCTTTGCCATGCTGGTGAACATCTATCTCATGCTAAAGCTCTCCACCATCACATGGATCCGGTTTGCGGTCTGGTGCTTTGTGGGTAAGCAACTTCTTTTGCAGCCTTGAGAGCTCCCTTCTAAGGTCTTAAGCACGCTTATCCCAAAATTACCTCCTAGCTGGACTAGGCAACTCCATTCCTAGAGAAATCTGGCTGGTTCTATGGACCTTTGTCTTCTGCCTGAGAGTCAATAAAGCCAGTTGTCCCCTTTCTGCCTGTAATGGTCTTGGTCATCAGTTCTGGAAAAATGATGTTGATTAATTCATCGCCTTACTGAATTACTGAAAGTTCTTCCTATATTAGGATAATTAATACCATAAAAAGTCCACTTAAAGTGAATCCACATTTTTAAGGGGATAAAAATAGCATAGTATAATTGGGGTCAGGGCATTTGATTGGAATTTTATTGTAGAAACTAAGAATTGTAAACTGAAAAATACAAAAAGTATTTATCTTAGATTTCACAAAATTAAATTAAAATAGCAATTACGCTCTCATTTTTAAATGAACAAAGTGTGAATTAAGTGTGGATTTTTTGGCATCATTTTTCTGACAAAATTGAATCATGGCATCATTTAACATCTCTCACTTCATACTGACTTTTGTAAAATATTCAAAAGTTTTTCATATTTCCCAAGGTCCTTTCTTCATCCCTTGACATTCAGATCATTCACTTGGGAAGTACCCATCATGCCACCATCCTTACTGATTTTCTCTCTCCTGCTGTTAATAACGAATACGACTCTTGTTAGGTCCTCAATTGTCCACAATTTTGGGTGTGAATTCAAATTTTTCTCTAAACTCACTTTCATGGACTTCAAGAAGTCCTGTACCTTGTCTAAGATTTCTGATTTTACTTTGTGATCCATTTCTATTGTATTTACAGTACATGTTTATCACCTAGGACAATCTCTGATGTTCATGAGGTGGCTGGGGATTGATGCTAGTAATAACTTGAGAAGTGTAAGGAGAGACTCATTTTAAAGTTCCTTAGTCACTATTTGTATGTCCCCTGTACAACTTGGTAACCCTGGAGGTTTTGGATAACAAATTCTTAGCTAAAGAGGATCTTTAGAAGCTCTGGGGAATAGAAGAGTAAACTCTGCCTAAAGGAGAGGCAAGACAAACACACATGAGTCACTTAGCCCGAGCAAGGCCACAGAGACTCTTTTTTTGTTGTTGTTGAGGTGGAGTCTTGCTGTGTCACCCAGGCTGGAGTACAGTGGTTTGATCATGGCCCACTGCAACCTCTGCCTCCCGGGTTGAAGGAATTCTCCTGCCTCAGCCCCCCGAGTAGCTGGGATTACAGGCGAGCACCACCATGCCCGGCTAATTTTTGTATTTTTAGTAGAGACGGGGTTTCGCCATGTTTGCCAGGCTGGTTTCGAACTCTCAACCTCGTGATCCACCCGCCTCGGCCTCCCAAAGCGCTCGGATTACAGGCATGAGCCACTGCACCCAGCCCACAGAGACTCTTAGTGATAAGCGGCGGTGCATCCGCTCCTAGAGGTCAGGAATACAGTTGTTCAACGTGTGTCCTCTGTGCCTGGAGCAGGGTGCCCACAGTATGTGCTCAAAAATACTTCTTAAATGATTACAAAGTACTCTTCAAAGGGGAAAAAGGAAAACTTCCAGTCAGAATTGCCAGAAAAAAACTTGGAGGGGTTAGAATTCAAAGTAGCCCTATAAGTTAAGATATAGATAGAAAGAAGTGGGGAAAAACATAGCAACCAATGGAAAGGGCATGTATCTTCCCCAGAGGCCTGACTCCTTGCTTCTGAAGGCTGATCTATGGCTTCCTGTAAGCATTTTGTCCCAATTTTTCACTATTCTAAGTCCCCCTGGTTAGACTTTAGGAGGATTTCTTGAGAGGACCCCACTGACTCATCAAGATTTTAACCATTTTTTATAACCTATTTACAATCTCTTGGCCAGGCATGGTGGCTCACGCCTGTAATCCCAGCACTTTGGGAGGCTGAGGAGGGCAGATCACTTGAGTTTAGGAGTTCGAGGCTAGCCTGGCCAACATGGCAAAACCCCATCTCTACTAAAAATTAAAAAATTAGCTGGGCATGGTGGCGAGCGCCTGTAATCCCAGCTACTCAGGAGACTGAGACAGGAAAATCGCTTGAACCCAGGAGGTGGAGGTTGTAGTGAGCTGAGATCGTGCCACTGCACTCCAGCCTGGGAGACAGAGCGAGACTCTATTTCAAAAAAATAAAAAATAAATTTTTAATTTTTAAAAAAATTGAAAAAAAAAAACAATCTCTTATCTCTAAACATTTTCCCACTGGAACATGTAGCTAGCCAATGCAGATTCTACTGTGGATAGAAGTGATGGAAGTGGGTAGAAATATTTTAGTCGTGTATTTGTCAAATTATTCAAGACACAGACACAAATACACACAGACTTATTTATTCATAGACTATTAAAGCTGAAAAGGGCCTTCAGTGTCTAGTACAACGCTACCCACAGTGTGGTGCCCATTCCACCAGTAATATTTTCAGCTGATATTAAAAAGCATTTGAATGAGTTCTTAAAAATATTGTATAGTTATTATACATTTTCACCTGGGTTAGAAAAACCACACATACACATTAATCTGGTGATTTCACAAATACTATTACTTGGAAAGAGATGATAGATGACTTTTTAAATTTAAAATGTGAGTCATATTAAAGAAAAAAAATTAGTTCTACTAGTATAAGTACCATATGACTCATAGGAATAGTAGTAATTAGTGCTTGCATCGCACTCATCACATATCAGCCATTTAGAGCTTTACTTTATTTACTTATTTTACTTATTTAATCCTCACAACAATCTCTATTTGACAGATGAGGAAACTGAGGCACTTGCCTGAGGTTACATAGCTAGAATATAGCAGAGGCAAGATTAGAACTCAGGAAGTGTGGGGCCAGAGGCCATGGTTATAGCCTAAATGGTTATATACTAAAAATATGGTATATAAATAACTGGAGTTGGAGAAATATGGATGTAGTCCACCACCTTCCCACTTCTCCCCCTCTCCATTTTATGGATGACTACACTGAACCTCCAAGAAGTTAAATAACATGCTCAAAGTCAACAGGAAGTTATTCAAAGAGCTATTACTAAAACTCAGCATACCCATGCTCAAATCTGGGGCTCCTACTACCCCACCAGGGTGCCTCTGAGCAGACTCATTTCATTAGAACGTTCGATAGAGCCTAACACACAGCATCAGAACTGGCCTCATGGGCACACAGCTGTGCACAAGGTCTCATGCTTGGTTTAATGCTCTGCTGCTGTCATCTTGAATTCTTAAAAATTTCTGAACAAGAGGACCCAGGTTTTCATTTTGCATTGAAAACTCTATAGCCAGTTCTGCAGAATATTTATGGCTCCTGAAGCACCAGAGGCATTTTGCAAAAACAGTCAGGTGGCAGAGGCCCTCACCTTTGGAGTCAAACGACACCAACTTCAAATCACAGCTCCGCCCCCCCTTTGTCTTATAACTTTGGGAAATTTACTTAACTTCTGTGGGCCTCAGTTTACTTATCTGTAAAAAAGCAGATAATTTAATCAGCCTTGACCTGGTTATTCTTTGGGGCTTAAATGAGAAAATGTTGAGAAAAGCAATAAGAAACATGTATTTCCTGCCTTTCTTTTAAAAATCTAAAATGATTCATTGTCCACAAGTATGGACAGACTGGCTATCATATGCCAAAGCACAATGTGAACCTGCAGCGACTCAGGCTGCCCTTCCAGCTATCAGGCAGAGGAAAACTCCCTGAGCGCCTTTTATAATCTTGCTGATAGCACAAACTCCAAACTCCCTCCAGAAACTGCTACTCACCGACTCAGAAGAATGCCACCCTGCAGAGTGGGGCTGGCCAGCCAGAGGGCAGAGAAGTCTGCAGTTCAACAAGCACCTGGCGATTGTGATGCACAGCCCGCAAACCACATTTGGGAAGGACTGCTAGTATTTCTGGGCACCTGCTGCTAACTGCTTTAGTATCATGATTTGTGAAAGCTGTCATATGACTAAGTTTCACCCAGAACAAAGATTCTCAACTCTAGCTACACATCGGTATCACCCTGGGTTGCTTCTGAAACATTCTAAGCCCAGGCTCCCACAACAGAGATTTTCTGATTCAATTGGTCTGGTGGCCAAGTGTTGAGGAATTTTTTTTAAGTTCCCCAGGCAATTTTAATAGGCAGCCAAGTTGACAATGATCTAGATCAATGGTCCTCAAAGTGTGACCCCAGACCAGCAGCACCAGTGTTATCGGGGAACTAGTTAGAAATGTGATTTTGAGGCTGGGTGCGGTGGCTCATGCCTGTAATCCCAGCACTTTGGGAGGCCAAGGCAGGCAGATCACCTGAGGTCAGGAGTTCGAGACCAGCCTGGCCAACATGGTGAAACTCCGTCTCTACCAAAAATGCAAAAATTAGCTGGGCGTGGTGGCTGGCACCTGTAGTTCCCAGCTACTCGGGAGGCTGAGGCAGGAGAATCTCTTGAACCCGGGAGGCGGAGGTTACAGTGAGCCAAGATCATGCCACTGCACTCCAGCCTGGGCAACAGAGCAAGACTCTGTCTCAAAAAAAAAAAAAAAAAGAAAGAAAGAAATGTGATTTTGAACTCTATCCCAAGTCTACTGAATCAGAATCTCTGAGAGCAATTTAGGGTTTAGCAAGCCCCCCTCCAGCTGACTCAAATGCATGCCACTACTCTAAGGGGAGAATAGTTTTATCAAGCAGGGCAGATGATTTAATTAAATTACAAAGACTTGTTTTCCAAAAACAATTTTTTGCATATATAAAATATATCCAACTCACAATCCCAAATTGGCTATAAAATCCTTAATGGTCTTATAAGATAAATATGTCACCTCTGAGCTTCGGAGCCTCCAAGATATCAGATTTTTCTTAATCTCTCTATACATAGTGTAACTTTCTAGGGGAGAACAGTAGAGATATTTTTAAATGGAGTCTCTTATGAAACTGAAGATTTACATGATTAGGCTGAGTCATAACTTGATCATCTTCTTAGACACAT